GGGAGGGAGAGGCAGGAAAGGGGAGGGAGGAGAAAGAGTGAGAGGGAGGTGAGGTTAGTGTAGCATGGCCTGGCCAGGGCCAGAACTGGGGAGAGAAGGGAGAGGAGTTTTCCCCCAGTTTGCATACGCACTGGCCTTGTCTCTGGAATGGTGCTGGCCCAGCCCCAGCCACCCCCCTGCCCACCTGCCCATCCATCTGTCTATCTGCCTCAGGTGTCTGGGAATGCTGGTTAGAGGCTACCAGGGAGGGGGACTCCAGGGGCCGGCCCCCAGGAGCTGAGGTCTGAACAATACCTTGGAGTCAGAATATAAAAGTCAAGGGACTCAGGAGTGGGCTCGGGGGGTGGGGTGGGGGGGGTGGCCATCCCCCCTTCTTGCCCACCTCCCAAGAAGCAGGCTTGATGGTCAGAAAGAGGATCCTTGAGGCCAAGGGGGTTTCTCTGTGGGGGGTCTGTGCTAGGCTCAGCCACTGTCACAACTGTTGCTGAGGCGGCTGCTGCGGGCAGGGCACATGCAGCCGAGGAGTCAGAGTAGAGAAAGGGGCCGAGGGGCCTGAAGTGGCCCCTAGCGCCGGCTCCAAGCCATTCTGGTTCTCCTGGGTGCTGGGGCTGCCAGTGGTGGGCAGGGGTTGGGGGGGGCCCTCACCCCCAGTCTCCTCCTCCAGCTCCTCCTCCTCCTGGGCCTCCTCGGCCTCTGGCCCTGAGCTCCGTACCCTCTTTGGCTCTAGCTCCTCTCGGGCTGGGTCATCGCCCTCCCCACCCCGATCCACCTTCCGCCGTCGCCGCCTCTCCAATGCCCGGCCCCGTGCCCGGCTCCCATGGCGCTCTGCCTTCTCCAGCTGTGTATCAGACAGGCAGAAAGAGGTGTGGGCCAGTGGTCAGGCCTGGGATCCCTGCCTCCTTGGCCTGACCTCCTGGCCCTGTCCATGATCCCTGTCCTCACCTCTAGAAGTGTGCGGATCCGCTCCATGTCTGGAGGCTGCCCAGCCCGCAGTAGCTGCCAGATGCTGTGGTTCTCATCCAGGGTCACCTCAAGCAGGTCCCCTTCTAACATGAGCTCCTCCAGAGGGGCCCGGGTGGCCTCAGGCAGCTCTAACGCGGGGCCAGTCAACTGTGGCAACAGCGAGGACAGCAGCTCCAGGTCTGGTGGGTTGCGGGGACAGGCTGGGTTAGAGGCTGCTCCGGGTTGTACCCCCGCCCCCCCCCCCCCCGAGCCGAGGAGCACACGGGGCACTGGGGATATCCAATCAGCAGCCTACCCACACCTAGACCTACCTCTCTTACCTGAGCCCTCCCCCGGGGCTACCTTCTCAGGGCTGGTCACACTGTCTCCGTTCTCCAGCAAGCCCAGGACCTGCCAAAGAGAGCGAGAACGGATGGTGGTGACTGAAGAACCAGGCCCTATTCCCCACCGACCCCCGACTCGGCACGTTCTGCCTCCTGGAGGAGGAGAGCAGACAAAGGCTGCGGCAGGGAGCAGTCGGGGGATCTGGACAGAATGTAGAATGGGGCAGGGAGGCCGGGCTGAGAGAGAGGTCAGAAGTCAGAGAGCGGGGACAGGGCTGGAGCCTAAACGGGGGCGGGGGCTAGGCGACAGGAATGTGAGGGCCAGAGCTGGAGCGGGCAGCTCACCTTGGGCATATCCTTGCCACTGCCTTCTCTGAGAGGGTCAGAGGCAGGGGCTGAAGGGTAGGTAGGGGGTTCCTCAGGCTTGGGCTCAGCCTGCAGCCGCTGGCGAAGCTCAGCCAGCCGTCCCAACAGAGCAGTCACGTCCTCAGAGGCCAAAGCCTGCCTGGCGCGGCCTTGCCAGCTGATGGCCCTCTCTGTGAGACACTGCAGGGCCTCGCCCTCAGGCAGCCGCACGGGCAGTCTCTGCAGGGCCACCAGCAGTGCCAGGATGGTCTCCAGGCGCGGGCGCCGTGAGCGCATGCACAGCGGACACAAGAATTTGGTGTCCCACTCCCACCAGGCCAGCAGTGGGGGCGCGGTGGGACTAGGCCTCGGGGAGCTGAGGAGGCGGGGTACCGACACACATCGCCCATGGAACCAGTCCTGACACAGGTCACACTGCAGCGCTCCCACCCCAGCCGGCACCTGCCCACACACACAGACAGAAGGTCCAGAGGAAGCCGTGGCCGACGACGCCAGTGGACTGGGCTTGGCGGAGTTGGTGCGACGCAGCTGCAGGATACCCTCCTTCTCCTTCTGTTCCCCCTCCTTGAAGGCCACGATCTGGCATGCCCAGGACAGCGGGAGAGGACGTCAGCGGCCCGTCCGTCCCCTCCCTCCTCTGGCCCCATTAACACCCTACTCCCAAACCAGGAGAAGCGAGGCCCAGGGAGCAAGCGGTCCGCCCAGGGTGGCCCCGCTCAGACACTTATCAACGCCAGGCTCTCCTCTCACTGTGGGTCCTCGCTCCTTACCACAGAGCCTGGGTCCCTGAGGTCCTGTGCGGACAGTCCCAGCAGCTCCGTGTCAGATTTGTACAACCCCAGCTCCTTCTCCATCCACCGGCTGCGCTTAGTGCTATCCGAGCCGGCATCTGCACACGGGCAGAGCACCTAAGGCAGGCAGACAGGGCGCGGATGAGTAGGCCTCCCCTCCCTCCCACTGCCAGGGCTCCCCAACCCCCCCAGTCTCCTGTGAGCCGCCTCGCAACAGCCGGGCCGGAGGCAGGAGAGGCTGGGGTGTCAGGGCCCAGGCCTCACCTCCAGCAGTGTGTAGCAAGAGTTCTTCTTGAGGAAGGTCTTGGAGGCCTTCTCCCTCCAGGAGTGCGCTGTCAGCACCTGCAGCTCTAGCTGTCTCAGCTCCTCCAACCCCACAGGTAGGTCCCGGCCCACAGCCACCAGGCCCTCTAAGTCATCCAAGCAGGGGTAGTGGTCGCCATTCTGGGGCAGAGGCGAGAGAGAGCTCAAGTCAACTTGCCAGCATCTACCGAGGTTACTATGTGCCCGGCCCTGAGCCGGGAAGAGGCACCAGACTTGCAGTCTTTGGGCAGAACCAAACAGGGATCATGCTAAGGGAAGTGCCCCCTACAACCCCCACAACCGCCGGCTCAGCCCGCAGGTAATCCGGTCAGTGCCCGTGACCATCGGACTCATCATTTTGTTGTGGCCTGCCTCTTCCACCCTCCCTGCCCCTACCCTCCTGACCCTTTCCGCAACCTCTCCACCCTCAGGCTGGCCTCCCATGGCTCGCTGCCAAGCACATTCTGCCTCCTCTCACTGGGCTGGACTGCTTCTCTAGCCAACCCAGCCTAACCCAATGTATGCCAGCTCTCCTGGCTGGACTGAAGATCTAGGGTGGAGGTTCAGGGGGCGACAGGGTCCTCACCTGAATCTCGTCCACGTCAGCTATCCAGGCCCGGGCCTTAGCAAGAGCCTCCTTGAGAGCCTGGATGTTGGGCAGGTGAACAGGGATGTTTTCTGCCTCGTGGATTATGGCCTCGAGCGTGGCTGGTGGATGCTTCTGCCTAAAGGTAGGGGGAAAAAAGAGGCCTCAGTCTAGAGTGATCTGCCTGACCGGCAGCCTGGCCTGCCCACCAGATACATCGGCAGGGGCCCCTGGAGCGGCCACTTGGGCCTACTTGCTAGCACTCTGCCTACAGGGGGCTGCCGGTCCTGCTCGCTCCAGACCGCATGCCCCCACCCAACTTCCGCCGTGGCCTCTGCGCCTCGGCTTGTCTGCCTGTCAGCCTGCTCGCACGGCCGGAACAAGTGGCGGGGCTCCCCTGGTGCCGCAGTCTGTCAGGGGGCCCTGCGGGGCTTTGCCCGGCACCTGTCCGCCCGTTAGTGCGTGTGCCCACGTCAGCCAGTGGGGCTAGTCCTCTATCCATGTCTGTATCTGTCCATCTCTGCTTCCCCGTAAGCCTAGCTCTGTCTCTATGTGTACATGTAGTTTAAAAAAAAAAAAAGAAAGAAAGAAAGATAAGCTAGGGAACAAAAAAAAGGAAGAAAGTCAATACACCAGCACTGGAGTCTGGTACCCAAGGCCACCCATGGGAATCACCCCATCCGCTTTCCCACTAAACCTTGAAGGTCGGGGCGGGGGAGGGGGGGGTTGGGGGGCGGCTGGACCTACCTGGCCTCCAGGCAGAGGTGGGCTTTCTCCTCCCAGCGTTCGGCAATGGTGAGCAGCTCCTGCAGCTCAGCCCGGGCCTTATCGACAGCAGGGCTAGGGGCTACACTAGCACCCGCGACCAACAGTCCCCGCATGACAGCCAGGGTGCCCCTTCGGGCTGAGGGGGCCAGCGTGCGCTTCACCTCATCCAGCCATCGTGCCTGTTCCACCTGCCGCTGGAGCTGCTGGGCTTCAGGCACCTCCACCCCCAGCTGCTGCCCCCTCTCCAACAGGGACTGCAGTAGCCCTGGACTGGAGGGCAGTGAGGCCAGGGCCTCACGGGCCTCAGCCTGGTAGGCCTCCACCTGTTCCAGAATACCCTACCAGGATACAGAAGAAGAACGAACTCCTCAGCTGGACCCACTTGGAGGTCCCACCACCAAATACTTTTGCCCCACCTACCTTCTTACCCGCCAGTATTTGGGAAGAGAGCCTAACATGGGCTGAGCTCTCCTCCTCTGCCATGCCCTAAGGTTCCCTGCCCGCTAAAATACCCTGGGGAATTTGTTAAAACACAGATTCCTGGGCCCCACCCTTAGAGAGTCTTAATAGGGTTTGGTCAGGAGTCTATGCTCTGTTTTAGTCCCCAGAGGATTCTGATGTACAGCACCAGGAGACCCTCTGCCCTAAAAACACTCTGCTATGCTTGGCCTCCTCACAAACCCCTATGCTTCCACTGGTGTCCACTGCCCTCTTCGTCCCACCTCTCCTCTCCCTTCCTGAACTTGACTCAGCTTTCCAGGCCCACAAACATCCTTGTTCCTTTCTCCTCATCCACCTCCACCAGGACACCTTCTCTTGACTCTGCATCCTGTACTTACACCCCTGCCACCTGCCCCTTTGCCTCCCAGCTCCTGTTACTCTAACAGGCGCATCCTGTCTTGCCCAAACGTTTGACGCTTTTTAAGGAAGCCAAGAGTGGCCTGCTGCTCAGGTCTCCCAATCCCCCTGAACCCTCATCAGCACTCCAAGTGCACTCTTCCTCACCTTGACATCCCCAATCTGGTGCATGGCACAAGGCAGGTTGTTCATCTGGTCCAGAAAGGCCCGGAGCTCAGCCAGGGTCATCTGTAGACCAGCCACCCTGTGGGGGCTATGGAGTTTCACATGTGGGGTTTCAGGTCCAAACCCAGTCCCCTCCCTCCATCTCTGTGCTCAGATCCAATGCCTTTCCTCACACCTGCCCACCTTGATCTCTCCTACTCCACAGTGCCCCCAACTGTCCAGATTAGAGGAGGTGGGTTTAATATATCAGCACATTCATATGATGAGAGCAAATGAGAAGGGGGGAATATAGGATATATGGCTGGGGGGGGGTAGTTTAGAAATTAAATGATGGTAACAGAAGCTGGACTTTTCAACTCATCCTCTACCGTGAATTCTCTGATCAGGCTGATGCTTCTTTTCTTGTCCCTAAACCTTCCACAACTCCTCCTTGCCCACAAAATCCCTAAGCCTGCCGGAAATCTCCAGGTACTGATAAAAAGGACCATTTCTAGCTTTCTTAGCACTCTTCTCCATTCTAGTTGCCTGATCTCCTTGCCCTCCCAACACCTCTTAGGCCACCCCACACGGCAGTGCTTGTCATCTGCCCAGTGGCGCTCAGAGTCCACTCCTCCTAGGTGCCAGCTCCTCAGCAGGCAGAATCTGAGCCCGCCACCTCCCACTGCCATACCCAGCTTCCTGGCCGCTGACGAGTCCCAGAGCCCGGGACACGCAAGCCTCCGCCTCGCTCAGGCAGTTCTTCAGTCGCTGCAGCAGCTCACTGTTTGGGAACCTCCGCTCACGGGCCTCAGACTCTAGCGCCCTCAGCTCTTCAAGGCCTGGAGAGAGAATGAAAGCAGCAAGGAGTAGGCAGTACTGAGTAAAGGCAGAGGAAGGGGGTGGGAGTGGGGTCCAGAAGAAAAGGGAAGAGAACTTGCCTGTGGAGTCCCTCCGTCCCCCCATCACTCACTGCGCTTCCGCCCATCCTCCACCTCCAGGGCCACTCGAACTTTGTTGGCCCAGGTGTCAAAGGACTCGGCCCGAACCTTCAGTTTATGCAGCATGGCAGGGAGCTCATCCAAGGTGTATCGATACCTGGAGGAAGATGGCAGGGAAGCACACATCTGGCCCAGCTCTGCAGCCCCCTCCTCAGCCTGCTTCCTTCAGTAGGCCCCCTGCTTACCGCAGGTACTGCCGGCTACTGGAGCACTTGCAGAGGTCATTGATGTGGGAAAGGCAGACAAGGCCGTCTGGGCAGTCATAGCAGGCCAGGGCTGATAGGAAGCACGTGGTCTTGCACTTGATGCACTGGCGCTCATCATCTGGGAGCAGCTCAAAAGCCTCTCGCTCAGCTTCCGTGATGCCCTGGGGGCATTCAACCCACGCGCGTTATATAGAACCAGAACAGGGCTGCAGATAGGCCCCTATCTCTGCCACAACTGAGCCCCACGTTAGACTCCAATCTGTGCTGAGAGTTCTAGAGAGCAAACCCCACAGAACATACTGCCTCTGTGAAGTTCAAGCTCTCCACACTGGGGAAATAGGATGAACCAGGGCAAGATCAGTGTGGGCTGAGAGGAAAAAAAAAATCAGGTGAGAATCAGATCACCAGAAAGGGCCTTTAGGGTGAGAGGAGGTGAGGAAAGTGGTGGGCCAAGGCGCCAGAGAGGTGGCACTGTGTGGGAATGGCCAAGGGAAAGGTTGAGAACAAGGGGAACGAGGCTGGCTTCGAGTCACTCAGCGCCTGTGTTCCAGGCGCCGTGCCGGCAGCCTGGCAGGCAGGACACACTGCAAAGCACATATAGAACTCACAGAAACAAAACTCTGTGCTTGTGTCCAGTGTTTAAAGATACAATTTTTTTTTTTTCAACAACATGGCTTCCAAACCTATGCCAATGACTTCATCTGTTACTCAGATGAAGAAAAAGCATTCTGTTCCAAAAATGGAGAAAAGCCAGTTATGCTGAAGTAACTGAAAGACAGTATGACGCTATGCATTATGGCCAATTTTAGGGATTTTTAAAGGGAAATTCTGACTAACAGTTTTTGTTCTATATTGACTGTAACATCTAACCTCTGCATCAGATAGGAGTCTGCTGTACATTACAAATCCCGCTCTGCCACTTATTTAACTAGTTGTGTGGTATGGAGTAAATAATTTACACCTCTCTGGGTTTGTTTCCCCATCTTATAAAATGGGAGATAATGGCACCATCTTCATTGTGTTGTCATGAAGATTAAAAAGGTACAGCAACTAAGGACTTAAAAAAGTATCAGAACATTTAGAATAAGTGGAACCACAAAAGACCCCTAACAGCCAAAACAATCTTGACAAGGAAGAACAAAGCTGGAGGCATCATACTTCCTGATTTCAAACTATACTACAAAGCTATAGTAATTAAAACAGTATGGTACTTGCATAAAAACAGACACACAGAGCAGTGGAACAGAATTAAGCCCAGAAATAAACCCTTGCATATACAGTCAACTAACATTTGGTAAGAGAGCCAAAAATACTCAACAGGTAAAGGATAGTCTCTTCAATTAGTGGCACTGAGAAAACTGAGTAACCATGAGCAGAAGAACAAATCTGGGTCCTTATAAACTCACGAAAATTAACTTGAAATTGATTAAAGACTTAAACATGACACCTAAAACCACAAAGCTCCCAGAAGAAAACATAGTGATAAAGTTCCTTGACATTGGTTGGCAATGACTTCTTGGATAGGACACCTAAAGCACAAGCAACAAAAGCAAAAATAAATAAGTGGGACTACATTTAGCTATAAAGAAAGCATCTGTGCAGCAAAAGAAATCATCAACAAAATGAAAGGAAACCTACGGAATGAGAGAAAGTATCGGTACACCATCTATTTGATAAAGGGCTAACATCCAAAACATACAAGGAACTCATCCAACATCAATAGCAAAAAAAACCCCCTACTAACAATCTGATCAAAAATAGGCAGAGAACCCGAACAGACATTTTCCAGAGAGATACAAATGGCCAAGAGGTACACGAAAAGATGCTCAACGTGACGATCATCATCATCAGGGAAATGCAAATCAAAATATCACCTTACACCTGTCAGAATGGCTATTACCAAAAAGACAAGAGATAGTAAGTGTTAGCAAGGGATGTGAGCAAAGGGAACCCTCATGCACTGTTGGTGGGAATGTAAATTGATTCAGCTACCTGGAAAACAGTATGGAGGTACCTCAAAAAATTCAAAACAGAACTACCCTATGATTTAGCAATCTCACTTCTGGATATATATCCAAAGGAAATGAAATCAGAATCTCAAAGAGATATCTGCACTCCCATGATCACTGCAGCATTATTCACAATAGCCAAGATACAGAAACAACCTAAGAGTCCATCAGTGGATGAACAGATCAAGAAGACATGGTATTTACATACAAGACTATTATCCAGCCACAAGAAAGAAGGAAATACTGCCAATTATAACAACATAGATGGACCCTGAGGGCATTATACTAAGTCAAGTAAGTCAAACACAGAAAGACAAAATACTATAGAATGTCACTTATACGTGGAATCGAAAAAAGCCAAACTTATAGAAACAAGAGTAGAATGATGGTTTGCAAGGGCTGGGGAGTGGGGGAAATGGGGAGATGTTGGTCAAGGGCACACACCAGTTAGAAGTTTGGGGGACCCAACAAATACTTACTATTATTAGCTCTAATTTGCAGATTAAGGATACCTATTTCACAGGCCTATCCCATTTTACTAAGGAGGAAACTAAGTCTCAGAGAGAGGGTCTGTAACCTGCCCAAAGTAAGAATCTGGCGACAGTATATTTTGACTCTAAAGCCAGAGAATGCTCTAAGTTCAGATGCAGTCCCTAGGTATTTTAGGATCATAGATTCCGCTGAGACCTGGATGCGAGCTAGGAGCCCTCTCCCCATAAAAGTACTCAAACACACACACACACACACACACACACACACACACACACACACATAATCTTCTACAGATTTTTAAGACTGGGGGGTCCAGAACCCTTCTCTAAGGTAAGAGCCAAGTATAAAGAATTCTCAATGTCTGGATGAGAGTACCTAGTCTCCCACCTTGCTTCGACTCCTTCTTACAGTCTGGAACAACCCCAGGTTCATCATTTAATAATAGCACTCAAGAGAGAGAAAATGATGCCTGGGAAAGCCCAGGGGCTTACCAACTAACACCACAAACTTCCAACATTACCACAGCTGAAATTCTCCTTATAGTCCATGCTCACGGGCAAGTTATAAATGAGCTTTAACATAAGAAAGTATTACCCTAAATGGGCAGCAAGGGGTCACTCAGGACCAGCATTCCTTTGTAATACTAAAGAGGACTCTCACTAAGTCACTTCCTAACTGGGCAAGTGTGGAGCTTTAAGAAGGCAGTTGAACTACATGAGCAGCAGTCCCACTCACCTACAAACACAACTGACCACCTGCTTATGAGAGATCTATTAGAGGACTGCTTTAAAAAAAAATAAAGGAGGACCACCTTGTATTTGGTAGTAGCACTCTAGTTTGAGCTACTGAATCATCTGAATGTAATAAAATGGCATTTCCTAAGAAATGTTCCATATTTCAATCATTTTCTTCATGCATTACTATTACCAATAACAGCAGCTATTACAATGCAAGTGCAATTAACAGATGCTTTGACATAAATCACCTTCCTCAAGCAATTACAATTCCCTTGCAAGTTCGGTATTTATTCCCATTTTACAGAGTGGGGAAGTGAGACTATCAGAGGTTAAATAACCTGAAAAGGTCACCCAGCTAAATCAGCAGTTGAGGTTTCACATGCCAGCCTGTCCTGTTGGGTTATTTAAATAATGACGAATAGCAGTGACACCAGCACTTGCTACGGGTCAGTTACTTAATAAACATAATCTTTAATCTATTCAACTATCCCAAAAGATAAACATCATAATCCCCATTTTTCAGAGACGGATACTGACAGTGAAGTAAATTAACTTGCTCACAGTTGTTGATAAATGGCAGAGCAGACAATGGAATGTGATTTCCTTCCTTTTTTTAAGATTTTATTTATTTATTTGAGAGAGAGAGAGAGAGAGAGCGCAAGCTAGAAAGAGCACAAGCAGGAGGGAGGGGCAGAGGGAGAGAGACAAGCACACTCTCTGCTGAGCAGGGAGCCCGATGCGGAACTCGATCCCAGGACCCTGAGATCATGACCTGAGCCGAAGGCAGACGCTTAACTGACTGAGCCACCCATGCGCACAGGAATGTGATTTCCAATCCAGATGGATCTAGTTCTTTTTACTATACCCCAAGAATAGAAGCTACACCTACTTCTTCCTTGCCCCACTTCTGCCAGGATAGCGTGCCCAATTCAGGGCCCTCTCCCCTCCACCCTACCTTCTCAAGCAGGGCCTTTCGCAGACGCCGTTCCTCCTGCACCATGATGAACATCTCCTTATGCACAGCTGCTGCCAGGTTCAGGTCCAGCTTCTCTGGGCAGGCAGCCATCTTACAGATGAGCTCCTCATGGGAGAAGACGCAGTATCTTCGGAGCCGGCGGTAGTGCTCAATGCACTGGCGCCCAGCCGGCAACTGTGGACAGATTCAAGGCTGAGCGTGGCCAAGTCTGAAGGCCGTGGTGCCTCAGCTTCCCCACAACCCTCCTGCTTCTCCCTGCCAGCCCACCACACTCCAGACTCACCCAGTCAGCAGTGCAAAAGTTGACAGCCTCTGCAAAGTTGTAGCCTTGGTTGAAGCCACTGTGGTAAGCACGAGGGAAGGTAATGACGAATTCTCCTGCACACTGGTTTGTGCGGACAACCTGAGGAAGAAAAAGGCCAAGGTCACTGAGACAGGTTTTCCAGGGTCGGGAGAAACTTGATTTAAGAGCAGGATCCAGGGCGCCTGGGTGGCTCAGTCGTTAAGCG